CTGTTTGTGTTGTCATAAGAGGAGTTCTTTCATATCCTTGCAAAAAACAGGTTGAACCATAGCTGAAAAATCATAGCACTGCCACAGAGCTAAAGACTCATAAAATCTAACCAGGCCAAAGGAGTGGACCTGACCAAAAATGAACACAACTGATAACTGCGAGTTAGCTTCTATGGGGCTATGAAGCCAGGTAGCACAGTATGGTAAAATCCATAGTAATTTCAGAATTACATACACTTGGCCCTTAGAAAAAGCACCCCAGAGTAGAATTTTCTAATAGACACTCCTCAGTTTCATTTAGAAAAAAGAATCCGCATATGGTATTCAAGAAAGTTAAAAAAGACACATGTATTGGTCAGCATTCCCATTGCTGGAAAAAAATACCTAACACCAGCTCATTAAAGGAGGAAAGATTGAATTTAACTCATAATTTCAGAGTATTCAGTCCATGGTTAACTGGCTCCAAGGCAGAAATACGGCAAAAAGTATGACAGATCAAAGCCGCTCACTTAATGCCACCTTGGAAGCAGACCACGAGTGAAAAGTACCAGTGAGAGATTCACACTCCAAAGACACTCCAGTGAGCCACCTCCCACTGGGCGCCCCACCTAATCACCCAGTCACCTCTCTAGGAGTCTGGTAACCCTGTTAGTTCAGTAATTAGGATTAACTGGCACAACACTAGTTAAATAAAGATGAGCAGGAATATCTTCTGTAGGATTTTATGTTTTCATGTAATTGTAAATTCCCCAGAAGAAAAAATGGTCCATAATTTTCTTGAAAAATTGACCTAGAAATGCCATTTTCATGAAGCATATATATCAAAGAAATAGTGTTTGAAGAGTTCACTTTAGTGAGAGCTGTCCTGAGGGTATCGCCATCCTTTGGTACAAATGCATGATTCCTCAGGGAGGTTCTTCTCCAATAATACAACTTAGCTGCAGGTTAAACTACTGGAAATACAGTTTATTTTTTCTTCTTTCATTTTGGACTAGGTTTGGGTTTGGGGTTTGCATTTTGTTTTGTTTTGGGATGTGCGTGTGTGTGTGTTTCTGTGTGTGTGTGTCTGTGTCAGTGTGTCTGTGTGTATTGGGGATTTAACCCGGGGTTTTCACACTGAACTACATCCCCCAAACCTTTTTTTTTCTTTGAGACAGTGTCTTACTAAGTCTCTGAATTGCCCAGGCTCTGCTTGAACTTGCAGTCCTCCTGTCTCTCCTTATTATTTTGGAGCCTTTTCCTTCCTGCATACTAGATTGAATAAAAGCCATGCAGAAAATGCATTGCCTGTTATACTACACATAAGTCCACATTTTGTAACAGTGAATAAGCAAGATGGCACATATTTTGTATAATACATATCCATGTTTCCATATTAATTTTCTTAACTATATCTAATTTTTCTAAAAGTTATTGCACATAACTTGATTTTTCTGACTTAGAAAAAAATTCCAAGCTCCTATGAAAGCTCAATCTGTAATAATATAAATATAACAAGTGTGCAAAACTATGAGTTATTTTTTAAATTTTCCATAAAACAAGATTATTTGAAAACACACATAAGGTAGAGTTTTATTAAAGTCAACGAAATCAGACACACAAACTTAAATATCACAATGCTTCTCTTAATGAGAAACCTGAAACATAAATAAAGAGCAAAATAGAAGACAACGTGAAGTAGGGAGATCCTTTTCAAAATGGGAAGGGAATGAGAGATGGAGGAAGGAGAGAAAGAGGAGAGGGGAAGGGGATGCAAAAACAAGAGTTCAAAGAAAGAAATGGAAACACAGCCTTTGCAGACGGAAAGAGCACCAGGAGACGGAAGGACCGGGGATGGATGGAATGGACAGGGGACAAAAAGAGAATTTCAAGTGTGTTATGTACCCGTACCCACTGCCCATAAGAAATGTAATCATCATCTGTTTCAAGCATATGCTAATATAAAAAATTTAGAAATAAATGGAAAATATCCACAGAAATGAACACGAAAGTCTAAGTTTGATGCATAATGAATATTGCATATTGGTACATGCATAAAAATAAAATGAACATTTGTCCATAGGAAATAGGAAACATGCACTGGCAGAAATCTCCTCCATGAAGCCCACTCCGTGGACCACTAAGATCAAAACTCTCTGCAGAGGGGAGCTCAGACATGCAGCTCTGGCCCCTACTCTTAGTTTTAGTTTAACTCAGTCCTAGTTCCATCCTCTGGATTTGGTCTCGCTCTGGCTTCCAAGGCCAGGCCATCTTCTCAGCAGAAAATATATATAAGAACTCTTGGGAAATACAAAAACAAGTCTAGTCCTACTTCAGCCTTCTTGCTGTCCTCCCAGGGCTTGCATCCTACTAGCTGTGTCTTTCCAGGACCCCTGGAGAGCTGAGTTACCTCTCCACTCACCTAAGTCCCTCCTTTGCTATGAACTTTGTTATCGTTCACCTTATAACGTTCTGACAGCCATGACGCCCTCTCTGAGGCTCAGTTCTTAGACCAGCTTTGATTTCTATCCTTCCCTTCCTGGGTACAGCTCCCAGCTATCTCACATCTCATTGTCTCTGACACCAACTAAAATTATGGCCATAATTCGGTAAATGTATCTTCACTCTTCAACCCATCTTTACACTCTCCTTTCTCTCCTCTCAAATCCCTGGACTCCAAATCCTAATGATGTGCTACTCAGTTAGTCCAGATACCATGTGGAGGCCATTTACCATCGCACTTTCAGTAGTTTTCACGTTCGATTCTACTTTCTCCATAGCCTATCACCTGTGAGCCCTGCTCTCTGCTAGGTAAACCTTATCAGTTTAGATTTCTGCTATCAAGCCTAAAGTTCTTAAGGCAACTTTCACTTACAAGGTAGTCAATTGATTATTTATGTCGTCTTTCTCCATATTTGCCTTTAACAGTTTTTTGGTAATGGAATCATTGGAGTTAGGATCATTAAAAACCTATTAATTTTCAACCAAAAGAGAAAAGTCTCTTTTTCCTTTCCAGTGAATCTTAGTAATGGCTTTTTAAAAATATTTGTCTTGGAGAGGCTAGAGAGAGATCTCATACTAAGGTAAATTGACATGATAAAGGGAAACAGAGACCATTCCATTTGTCCCCAGGACAGATATGAAAATGGTAAAATCATTTTACAGGCTTTGGCAAATGAAGTAACAAAGTAGCATAGGTTTCTTTTTTATATTTCAAAGGAAACTTTAAATTTAAAGTCTCTGATAACTTACTGATACTCTTAAAAGTATAAGACTCTTTTCCAGAATTGTAGCTATGCCAACAGTACTCACAGGTACAAATGCTCTCCACTTAAAGCAAAAGAAAAAAGAAAATGCAAGCAGAATATCTTGAATATTCAGTCCAAATTTTACCCACAATAAATCTGCTACAACTAGACTGTCAATCATAATCATACCGAGAAGATGAGAATTAAGACCCTCTTGGGACGGAGTTTGCAATCATGGGAGGGCAGTAGAGTGAAAGGTCAGTGCAGCTATTAAGTCCAACGGTGGTAACAGATTACAGCAATGGTGTGGAACCAAACTCCCTGGGTTTGACTGTCAGCTCTGTGCAACATGAGACACTTCACCAGGCTGTGTCTCAGTCTTCTCCTCCATCAAATGGGCTAAGTAGAAGCCGCTTTGTGGGACTGTTATAAAGATTAAATGAAACCACAAAATGACTTAAAATAATAGTCGATTACTGTTGGTATTGGGTCAACACAAGTCAAGTACATTTTGTTAGCCATGCTATCTACAATGAACTTATGTCACGGGCAAGTGCGAGTCAGGGGACACATGTCCTGACAGATGTAAGTGTGACTGGGACTTGTTCAGAAGAGATTGTAGCCTTCATCACAGAAGTGGTTCTTCCAAGATTTAGGTTTCTGAGGAGCTGGAAATAAAGTGACTCTTCCTGCCTCATTGGTGCTAAACAATGTAGATCCACACAGGTAAAAATAAAAGGACTCAAAGTCCAACCAGCTCAGTGCTGGCTTAGACAAGCTCAGAGGCTGGAAAACCTGTCTTGTTACAAAGTGTTCTTTCGCCTACTCCTTCTTCCCCTTGGGTCAAGTTGCTGGCTGAAGGGCGGTGTAGTCTCTCTTACTGCCTGGTCCTATCCCCTGTCCTCACTTCCTTAGCATTACTAAAACCACATGCTTCTGAGTTTTGTTTGAAAAGTAAGTTGAAAAGTTGAAGTCATTTTTTGTCTCTATTTCTAGAAGGAGGTTTTATTTTCCTTTGAGGAGTCTTGAGTTAAACAGGCTCGGCATTACCCTCAATGAAACTACACCTAGCATTTCACTGGTATTCATTTCGCTAGCCGTCCATACCATCCTCACACAAGGGAACATTTCTTTGATTCCAATGAGACTCTTTTCCTGTGCAAATGCTACAGCATTCTGCATTTTATTGAAGTGTGAGCTGAGCTGGCTGTCCAAATGAATGGAGAAACTTAAAATTTTCCACGTACCTAAATGTCTCGAAACCTACCTCCTCTACAATGCATCTTCCTGTGAGCACCAGCCAAGAGCACTCTATTCACTCTGCATCACTAAAGACTTAATTTTCCTGGTCTTTAAGTCTATCTTCTCTTAGGAATTGTGTACACATTGTTCTAATAATTGCATATGGGTTCTTAAATAAATTTTTATGGATGTCTCACCTGTATCCTCTATTGTCTACAAGCATTTCAGAAGTAGACCCATTTTAATTCCAACATAAATTTGCTGTTTAACATACGTATTAATTCCTTTCACAAATATTTACTGAGCACCTATGATGACCAGGTATAATTAGGATTAAAAGTTTGGCAAGGTGAGGCATCCTTTCCTCAAAAGTCACAGGTTCTGTTCCCATATAGTAAAACATAAAGGATAGAAGATGAAATAGCGCTGTTTCAATGTGGTTTTTTGGAACCTGAAATGAATTTATACTTCCAAAGTAGCAAGAATTTCATTTCAAATGCCAATAAAATCTTTCTCTCTTATTCTGCACAGGATAGTGTCCAGAGCCTCCGAAAATCTCATGTCCACCCAGAGTTTAGGGATTGTGTTCGGTCCCACCCTCCTGAGAGCTGAACATGAAGCGGGAAACATGGCGGTCCACATGGTGTACCAAAACCAGATAGCGGAGCTCATGCTGAGCAGCTACAGTGAGATCTTCGGCTTGGCGGAAGACTGACAGACAAGACGAGTTACAGAACATGTTCACATCTGTCTTGATGCCTAATATTTTTACATTTCTGTAAACATATTTCTGAAATATTTTTTGCCTTTCAAGTGACAGATGCCTCATTCTGTGAAAACTTAACGATGATTTTGTGTTTAAGTTCCAAACATTTGAATAAAATAATCAACAATATTTGCCTATATTTGTTCTACGTTAACCCTTGTAATGCTGTTCTTCCCAGCACTTGTGGAAGCATGTCATGCATACCTCACACTCTTAAATGACATGTAGATTATAGTACAAATCCAAACTGTGGCCGTGATGCTGCTCACAGGCATCAGGTGTGTGGTTGCACACATGTGGACGTGAGCGTGTGTAGGTAACAGTGGTTGGGAGCATGAGTGTGTATGCGCAGATGTGCCTTCTTAGAGTCCACGGAGCCTGACACATCACCCCACCCTCCCACATGCCCACAGGTACAAGCAAAGCACTTGAAAAGGCAGAAGCTAATAATTTTCAAATAGAATGAAGGGGATCAAATTCTCAACCAAAACAGAGATATTTTATCTTTCAAGAGTATAATCCAGCTATTCTCAGTGCTACATGGTGAAATTTATAAATACAATGTGCTGAATGGCAATTTTTTTTCTGAAGAAACATGGCAAAACATTTACCACTGTATTTTTTTTTTTTTTTGTAAATACTATTTGTGGTTCCATAAACAGACTACCTTATAAATTAGAGGCACATTGGCACCCTGTAATTTTGATCTTTATTTTATACAGGAATTGCATAATTGCTCATTTTTAATGTTAACATCCATTTTGAATCTTCATCAAACTGTATATCTTCCTTTCCTTGGCTATATCATTTTATGTAGAATTTTTGTTGTGCTTCTGAGGATGCATTATTGGTGAATTACATTAAATCCATCTAGAAATAACTTTTTTAAAAGACTTTTTCTCATATGCCCTAAGGATTACTTGACTAGACATGGATTGCTTTACCATTTGAAGGTTAGTTCAGTTGTCATGGATAAACAAAAGGGTAACAGTCTAGAATATATCAAACATTGTTTCACTTTGAAAAGCACTTTCTAGCTGAGCACATCTCCTTCCCGGTTTTATGGAAATATTCTGCTGATAAAAATGTAGACTTGTGTTTGACAGCTTTTTAATAAAATTCAAACAGAATAAATAAAACTAATCCAGTGCAATAAAGACTAAGTCGACTTATCGATTTGTTCGTAAAATGAAAAATAAAGCATGTAAATAAAATTCGTGAAGCATGGATCCAAGAGCAAACACTTAGAACAATAATAAGCTCAGACGCAAAGGCTGTCTGTATCAGTGGGGTGACAGAGAGGAAGAGGGTCTATTCAATTGATGTACACAGAACTCCGGATGTGCACACAGCTCCAACATCCACAGGGCTGCCCGAGGAAATCCGAGGTTCACTTGTCTCTCCTTAATGTCTTCATTTTAGCCATGCTGCCAATAAATGGGCTCATGGCCAAGAACAGGGAAGTAACCACAACGAATGATGAAGTGCGGTCTCATCAAGTGAGACTTGTACACATATCACAAAGACAAAAGAGTCACTTGAGAGAGAACCTCATGATCTCAAGTCACCAGTACCAGGGAGCCAACAGATTGGCTCATTTTTAGCTATCCTTATACATAAAATTATAATTATGCCTTTCGGTAAAACACAGAAAGATGAAAAAAGAATTCTGATGTTCTATTTCAAGTTTCCTTCATTGCTATGACATTCCCAATTAGGTCTTCCCCCCAAGACTTTAATTACATCTTTTTGAAGAGGGGAAGAGTAGATTTAGTAGTTGTAACATTAAAATCTTAGCGGTTCATATGTGTCTGTCTTTAAAGTTATTCTGGAAGCATCGGCCAGAAAGAAGTAACACTGAAAGCCAAGAGAAGTGGCACTACCTGCTTTGAGCAGGGACTCATGGCCCCCTGTCTCTGCTGCTTTCCAGATTTATAATCTTCAAAAGCACCAGCTTCTTGATTTCCAATCTGATGGGATTTAGTATAATTCAAACTCCAGCTGTGTCCTGTCCCTGCCTGCTAAGGGCATTTAATCAGAGAATGTGTTTCCTCTCTGGAGAAAGACCATCCCAAGGTGTTGAGCCAATATGCCCATCACAGAATCTGAATTACACACTCTGAAAATTTAGAATGGGTTACAGCAAAAGGTGATTAGATTCCATAACATCTTCCAAACAGCAATGATGATCATTATCACTGTTCCAAGTTTTAAAGCCAAGAGTGTAAGCATATCATGCTGACTCACAAAGAGAGTAGATTTGATAAAACTGATCAGCATTCCCCAACAAGAAATCATAAGCAGGTAACAAATCACCTCGTTACGTATGAACCATGCACAGTTCTAGGTGTTAACAATATATACATGATACAAGGCACATATTCCTAACCTCTGTGTTAATCAGCCTGTGTTAATCTGCTTTCTATCACTGTGACAAAATATGGGAAGTAAATTAACGGAGGAAAGGTTTATTTTCGCTAAGTTTCAGAGACCTCAGTAGACGGTCAGCAGGCTCCATTACTTTTAAGCATGTGGCAAGTCCAAAGTATCGTTGTAGGAGAGTGTGACAAGGAAAAGCTGCTTACCTTATGTTGGTCAGGAAGCAAAGAGAGAGAAGGAAAGAACAAGCCAATGCTGGGAAAGCTTCTGTTCCATCCGGGTCTCCAGCATGTTGGATGGTGTTGTTCACATATAGGTGAATCACTCCCTTCGGTTTGATGTCCCACAAGCCAGTTGTACCTGGAAACACCCCACAGATGCACACAAAAATGTATTTTACTACGTTCTTGAATAACTATTCAATCTAAGCAAATGGATAATCACCATTAAACATCCTATTTTAACCATCAAAATTAGCCATCTTGAAAACCATGTGGGTCAGCATGTGTATATAGATGTTCAAAAAGTATTTTTGAATAAATGAATAAGAAGAGTCTGTTACAGAAACAGTCAAAAACTGCAGGGGTGGCAGAAGACCTCACAACAAATTGTGCCCAAGGTGGTCAGATGTGGCTTCATTGGTTAAGTAACCTGGATTATTTCCATCTAATCTTGACTGATGAATAAAAATTATCAGACAAGGAAAAATGAGGAAGAATACCCAGCAGCAGGAATGGCATGAAAACATGTCATGAAAGACCTGACATCACCAAGGAAATGTGAGAAGATTACTGAATAGAGAACTAGGTAGATGCCTGGAAGTTCAGGAATATGCAGCCCGAGAAACACTTTGAGGGCAGATATGGCCAGAGTATTCAAATTTTATCCTGTAGGAGAAAAGGATGCAACAGAGCCTATAAAATAAGAAATACATGCAGAAACTTTGTTTTTTAGGAAACCCTAAAATTCACCAGTAGGCAAGAGACACAAATTACTTTGAGGAGACTTCCTTTTTCTCTTATATACATTGGAGTGTATATGTGTGCATGCGTGTGTGTGTGTGCACACGTGTATATATCTTTTAATATTTTCCAATAATATTATAGTCTTGCATTTTAGGGGCATTTTCAGAAATTATAATCTAGTCTATAGAATGGGAATACAAGTGCAAAGCAATCTTCCTGGAAAATCAAGTCAGTCAGAAAATTCCTTTTCAACACGGCTTTATCTACCCAGCATGCTGGAGTTGGCCCCTCTTTCTCTCAGAAATGGGAACCTTCTTGGAAATGATGTGTGTTCCATATATACTGCGAGTCTGACTTTACTTAGCATGTGCCATATGACAGGATCACCATGCCACCGCTCATAATTGAAAGCCATATGATGGTTCTCCCTATCCAATTAGAAAACAAAGAATCCAATTAAGAAAAATTAGAAAAGCTGTTAAAAGGAAGCAGTCACTTGCCAATGGTGCTGTCCTTACAGTTTAACACAGCTAGAAATTGACCTGTCCTTCTTTTTTTCCACATTTATTTTTGTGAATTATAAGTTAATCACCCTGTCAATTCCTAATTAAAAGGCCCTGCAAAGAATTTGATCCAAAAGGACTGTCACTAAGAGTTCTGGGTCAAATTGCTCTGTTGTCAAAAATGAGAAATAAAACCAAAAACAGCATCAACTCTCTCCTGGGGACTCAATTTCTTTTCTTATTGTACTGGGGATTAATCCCTGGACTTCACACTCACTAGGCACTCTACCTCTGAGCTATATTCCAAACCCATAACTCAAATATATATGGGTGCCTTTCTTTAAAATCTTTTTGAAAAGATGTCTTTCTTTGGTGATAATATCATATATTACCTCTCCCCAATCAAACTGTTTAATTTTTAGGGTACATATTTTTCCTTAGATGAAGAGTTGCAAACTCACACACTTAGCAAATCCAGGTGGGGAACAGAAACGAGAACAGCAGGCCCAGCCACTACAAAGCCGTTGCTGCTGGAGAGAACTCAAGCTCTATGCTTGGCCAAAAGGACCAGCTTCTGCTCATCTAGAGCTGCTGTTGCTTATGTGGGAATTTGGGCACAATGTTAATAGACCTCCAGATCTTTTATGAGAAGCCAGAAATTCAGGGTCTATGTGAAATCTGATTTTTAGAGAATCAAATAGACATAAGTGAACAGGTTTGACCTCAGAACCTCTATTTCTATGATCTCATGGTTGAGCCTTCTGTGATCTCTGATTTTGCAGAGCTTGCTCTCCAGAAAATGGTTGTGCATGAAGCAAAGTTGGAAGTAAATGACTGAGACGGAGCTGTGGAAAGGAACAGAGAACAAAGTGCAGAGAAGAACTTTCTATTTAGACCCTGGACAAATGATTTACTCTGGGTGTCTCAAGTTTCCGATCTATTAGCAGCGCACACATTTGCCCCTCAGACTGTCTCATGGGGTCATGTGAAAGGAATTAACACAGGTAACACACTATGAAACTGTAAGCTGTCCCTAAAGGATGTAGACGATCAATCTCCAACTTATTGACTGATAATAACTTCATGGTCTGAAGATGATGAGAAAGATAGTTGGGACTGAACTCTAAAAAAGCTTAAATGCCATGACAAAATGTATTTTCCTTCTTCTCCAGTCAATTTTGAGACACTGCAAGTTTTTTTTGTTTGTTTGTTTTTTTTTTTTTTTTTAAGCAGAAAGGTAATAATCAGTTCTCTGAAGATTCTTGTGGCAACATTAACAAGT